TCCGAGGTGCTCCAAACTGGTATCGACCGGCCCGCGGACACAACAGTTCGACCGCTTATCATATACCTCATCAATCGGACCGGAAAAGCAGACTGGCTTTGCATCAGTTGGGTTTGAGGCCACACTTGCCACATTATTCATCCTGCCCCCGAATACCACCCGCCGGGACAAGCAAAACGGACGAAGAAACTTTGCACCAATGGGATACCGCTTTATTCTGTTTGGTTAAATCGGCCATAGTATCAAACTATCATTATGCTGGCACTTGTCCATCACCGGGTGTGAAACACCCTGTCCTTACCAAAGGTTTAAGGTAATTGGTATTCATTTATATTTTTGTACTGAAATCATAATTTGGTAAAATGCTGATGGGAGCTGAGTGCCTAGTTGAAAAAGATAATCTAACCCCTTTTTCGTTACACATTTTTGTGTGTGAAATGAACGAACATGGAACATGTGATCATGATGGAGGGCTATTCGGTTAGTGCAACCGAAATCCTATCCAAGCTGGTTTGTATTTATCGAATGACAACAAAGCTACTCAGCTCAGATGTCGAGTGGCGGTGATGGCGGTGACGGATCAAATCGACTCACCACCATCGCCACCACCACCACCACCAGCAGCAGCAGCAGCAGCAACAACAACAACAACAACGAAAACAACAACTGGGTCATACAGTCCCAATTTATCCATGAGTATAATTCTTTAATGTGATCAACGTTACTTATTTTATACAGCATTCACGTAATTTTTGCCACTGATGGTATTCCCGTTTGAACGATATCTGTATCCTATTGAAATCCGATTTGCATCATGTGCGCACTGATTAGACTAATGCGATTGAAGGATTGGTAATCCCAAACCTATAGACCCATTTACGGACTAGATTACATTGACTCCCTAAGTGAGAGAGAGAGAGAGAGATTAAGCCTAGTGCTACCACTGTGATTAAATTCTGATCAGATTACGAGCCAGTAGGATGTGGCTCAAGGTCGCATGACAGAAACTTGAAACCCACCGGCGTTTGCTTGCAGTTGTGATCTGAAATACTCCACACACTGTATACCAGTTGACCTGCAGCTGCGGTGACGCATACATAGGCAGAACCAACCGTTAGTTATCACAGCGGATGGCCGAACACATTCCAAAGTGGTTGGTGAAGTCGATGGCGCAACCCACGCCCAGTAATCAGGCGGTCAGTAATTTCGAAATACGTCATGACAACTAAACACATAATTAATCCCGCTTCATCCTTCAAACCGTTGTTACGTAACTGTAATGCAAAACTGTTGGCAATAAGTGAGGCGTTGTTAATCCGACTACATAATCCCTTTCTGTGCGCCAAAAAGTTGTGTTGGTTGTCTTTGTAGAAAAAATTGTCACATCCAACGAATGTACTTGTAATTAGAAGATGTACTTGAAAAAATTAACGACACAAATTTAACCCTTGCACTCCACATGATTGTGCGCAGTATTTATACTTTTTATGAATTAATCTCCAAATCTTTTGAGGAAACAACCCATGGAACAAGATAAGTATCC